GTCAATATAACTTCGCTCCAACTCTCATCACCCAAAGGTTTGCCTGGTGTACTTCGGTTGGATTCATCAATGGTTGTGAAACCTCTAAGACAAAGGTTTGACTATCTGAGCAAGACACTCTTCTGAACGCTACTTATACACTATACATTTTCTTTGAGACCATTCAGCTTTATGTTCATACAGGAACTCAGGTGCAATAAACAGCAATGCTCACTTCTCACCTTCGAGTGCGGCACTGGAGTCACATCATTTGCACAATTAAAATTAGTTGGAGCATGTCACCACTGCCTGAGGCTAGAATCTCCGAGACTCGGTTGGCGACAAAATTCTTGTAATTCCTCGACTAACCCTTATCCAGAATATGACTTCCTTATTGGCTGTCCATAGATAGATAGATAGACAGATTGTTTATTTCATAATCACATTGCAACCAGGAGGTTGAATTACGCGATTATTTACAAATAACTATGATTACCACTAATAAGCTAATCTATAAAAAAACGAAAGAAACGAGTAACCGAGAAACAATACATAAATACACTACAGTAAAATTGTGATTTGTTAAAAAAAATAAAAGATTAAAAAAAAACGAAATCGACATGATAAAAAGCAATCGAAACTTCTAAAACTATAGATCGGGAACACAGTTTAAGCTTTGAGAACGTTGGACGTAATAAAACTAATACGGAATCTGTTCGTCTTGAAAACTGGCCTAAATTTCCGTGTGTTTCTGAGGTTCGACCCAGAGAGCAGGGAGAAGGCCGTGGAGCTTATTCTGTTTTTTATTTGGTTTGTCCACAAGCTCCTGGCGGCGGTCTGAAAGTTTAATTACATTTTATTCAACCAAAAACTCATTGTACGAGCAGAAAGGGAAAATAATGCGCATAGCCCGTTTTTGTACTCGCTCAAGTTCACTGGAGATGTACGCGGGAAGGCTGTCGCGAAAGACAGGACATGTATACTCCGTGACAGGGCGAATGAAAGTGCAGAAAAACTGAACTAGCCCACGGGTACCTAGGCCAGAGCGTTTAAGCTGAGATAAACCATACAGGCGCTTCTGAGCTTTCTTGATAATGGAGTCAATGTGAGAGTTCCATTTCAAATCACTAGAGACATTGAGGCCTAGTATTTTGGCAGTGGCAACCAATTCGATAGGCATGCCGTTAACTACAACGGGGTCGACAGACGTTGTATTCGTAGTGCTAAAGTTTATGCGCAGTTCCTTACATTTCGTCTCGTTTACTCGAAACTTTTCCGAGGAAGCACGGGTTGACTAGGGTGTCGACGGCGGCCTGGATGTGACTGTCTTGGTTCTTGCTTATTGTCTTCGAGATGGTCGTATTGTCGACGTATTTCCAGAGATCGTTGGCAGGAACATCAAGCTCGTTGATCATGATGATGAACAGCCATGGTCCCAAATTTTTGTGCCTTGGGGAACCCCCGCCGGTACAACACCCTATTCTGAGAAGCAGTCATGGCCAAGTTTAACTCGCTGTTTGAGCGAAGTGAGGAAATCGATTATCCAAGAGATAACAGGGTCAGGGATGTCATATGAGCACAACTTCCCGACCAAAATCCGGTGGTCAATGAGGTCGAAAGCTTTCTTGAATTCAAAGAGAAGCACCCTCACAGTGGCTCCATTACCGTCAGTGGCACTGTTCCAGGTGTGCATCATGCTAACTAGAGCTTCTGAGGTATTTGAACCGGAAACGGTGCCAAACTGCCTAGGATCGACCTTAGCAAGCGAGGCAGGTTTGAAGTAACGATCAACCACAAAGTCCGCATTTAACTTGGAAAGGACAGGAGTAAGTGATATTGGTCTCAAGTGCTTGTTTACGTCGTCCGCAGGAGCCTGCTTGGGAACGGGGACAATATCGGCTTCCTTCCAGGACTGGGGTAGTCGAGCCTCCGAGTATGAACAGTTACTGACATCAATAACCACTTGGGCAGTATGTCTGCCTTCCTTCTTTCAAAAGGCACGTAGGTATGCCGTCCGGCCCTGAGGCTTTAGCCGGATTAAGACGGGTAAGTTTCTTTAGAACGCTGAACTCAGTAACTGTTGGCGGATTGGTGTGTTGCACGTCACCTGATGCCTCCGGATGCAGTGGAGAAAAGGAGTTCATAGGGACGAGGAACGCGTTGTTTATGGTATTAGCAAAGGCCTTAAGACTAGAGTCAGGCCCTGAGTCAAGACGTTTCAGGACTGAAGTCGGGTCAGTACGCGTAGCGGATTGCATCCCACCGAGCCTTTTAACTTCATTCCACCACCCACGGGGGGCGCAATCTCTCAGATGTTTAACTTTGGACCCGTAGTATTTAGGGCGACAGGACGAAAACTTGCCTCTTCATTACAAGCAAACCCTGTTTGACGATCGTGAGTCAGGGAATTTAAGTTGTTTGTTGATCCATGGTGGTTCATGCGCAATGACCGTTTTGGATTTAGGGCGAAGCAAGGTATCCACGCCGGTCTTGTTTATTGTTTCGAGCGTGCGCGTTTTCTCTTCGCATGACTCTTTTAGACCTACCAGGAGACCAAGGTTGACTTCCTCGAGATATGTTCGCATGGCCATACGATTTGTAGCCCGCAGATATCTTGATTTAAGCAGGATCTTATTCTTCGGAAGGTTCTTAGAACTTGAACTCCGGAAACTTCACGTAACTGACTGAATCATTCTTGACGCATCTTCTATAAGTCAATGGGAAACTCATCATTCCAACCTCATCATTCTATAAAGCTGGTCTCGAGCTTTTATAACTTCATCTTCCTTCTCCAAGAAGTTATAATGTCATCCATGTTCATCTGTGATAGCATTGTGGCTACTACTAGCAGATAGTCATACCTGATATCTTCTGTATGTTTTTGCTAAACGTACTGGGCAAGATAAGGTGAGGCGCAGTAAACAAATATCAATCTCATATCATTATGGCTTATTCCACCGTATCTGGCTGCTCAATGATACAACTGTTCTCACTTTGGGAGCCTCTTTGCCTTCTCTCACTACAGCAAAATGAGGTACATACTGAATTGGCCCATCATCAATTTTTCCTGAACCAGCTTCCGGATGTAACCCTTGGCTTCATTGCTTTCATCACCTGGTAGTATTTGTCAGCAATGTTTGGCCTTCGCTAAAGTTGTTTCCAAGAGAGTAGAGTCGGACTTAAGTGGTCGTTCTGATGCACTGCAGCGGCGGCTCATAGTCCTTCCATGGAATAGCCACCTCATAGCGTCCCTCAGCACATCGTGTTGACTCTGCCGCTTTGCGTGCACCAAGCACCTCTTTTTTGTCAAGGGCTTGTTTCGATAAGTGATTCAACAACTTCGTCATCCCACATGCTTCCGTATGAACTCACTGGCCTTCAAGGATGCATGGAATGTGTAGACGTGGTTGGCAACGGACACTCGTTTGCAACTTCCAAGATGTGTCCAACAAATGTTCATCCGACGGTTGTCAACCCCTACAGGGCCCTGCGGCTTTCCTATGCCAAATTTAAGTGGTAAAAGGAGTTTCTCAAAATAATCACTTCCAACAAATAAATCAACTTATCCATGTTCAACTTGCGTTATGAACTCAAAATCGCAAAGATGATTTAGCTTCCTTGCATTAGGGGGCAAATCATGCAACTACAGTTATTTCACAAATTTTCGGGGTTATCCATAGAAACAAGTTCTTCCTAACGCTTCCATGCATACTCTATAGGCACACAGTAACAGTTTTTCCATACGTCACAATCGACCCCGCTCCAAAAACAGCAAAACGCAGTAATCTACTCTCAGCGTCCCGGCTCAATAAATCAAAGATCTACTCTTTAAGGTAGGACGACCCAGAAGAACCAAGAAAGGCGCTTGCTTTGATCATTATCCCATTTTCTCCCTCCAATACAACGGGTACCATTCTCAGGGCAACCTTTTCAGGGTTTTGAGGTACACTCGCGGCTTCTTCAGACACTCCACAGATTCTGCGATTAGCTTTCCACATTTGTTGACGTGTCTCCTGTAGCTGCTTGGGGGTTAAAATGTCTAACTGCGATGGGTCTATGGCCGCATGAAGTTGTAGGTGGTGTCGTCGCACCCACCCTTCTACTGGATACGTTCCTTACTCCCTTACAATGAGCACCGGTCAACTCAATGTTCTCTTTTGAGGCACCTAAAGCACAAACCCAATTTCCTCGCCAATTACCATCGTTAATGCACATTTGATGTCTTTGCACACAAAACATTCCACTCTAGCTCGTGAATTTGCACGAATCTCGTCACGCGAATCTCTTTTTGTATGTTTCCTTGAACCACTCTAAATTGTTTGAATTTGATTTGGTTTTGTTTTGGCCAGGATTTGCTTTAGTACTGCCACAACCAATAGCCACCTCTGGGACTTGATTGTCTGTTTCCAGCCACTCATCAACATCCCACGGTAAGGACAAACTCCTTTGTCTGCAGCTCTGACTTTCGCGTGCCACGCCAAACAGCAATTTTCAGAGGCAGTTTTTTAATAATCTGCTGCATATTAGCTGCTGATCGCAAATCTGCTTCAAGGTCTTCAACGTTCTCACAATGTTGGACAAAGTGTCGACACGGGATCTCAAGCTTGAGGTGTTTTCATTCTGAACTGCTGGTATCTTGAGAACTTAATTGATCGAATAGTTCTAGTCCTTATAAAAAGACTGAATGTTCTAGAAAAATGTATTTATCAAGGGTTATGTAACCTTTTCTTTGGGGTGTTACATGGTATGCTGTTCTATTGCTTCATTAGCGGTGGGCTATATATATTTGAGTTGTTCTCATTTATATTCATTCGCGTCTTAAGACCATCCCTACGCCCTCAAAATTATGTCTGATGTTGAAGACGTTACTCCAGCGAACTCAGATTTTCCTAGCAGCGACGTTTAATTTGTTGCCTTTGCTTCCTAAACAACCTTCTCTCTTGTCTCAATCACTCGAAGCTTCAGTACCAATCCAGTCTTCATAATCCAGTGATATAGCGTCCGCGTTCTCTCTATTTAAGGATTATTTCGACAAGAAGCCGGCCGCCTTGAAACGCGATATTCAAGACGAGTTGTGCAGTAATACCGATTCTGTAGCCAAAAAGCTCAAAGAAGAATCCAAGATCACGTTTCGATGTGAAGTTAATAAGAAACAGTTTCAATTGAACTCCGATCTTGCAGCGAAGGTGAAGTCAGCGTCAGTTGCTCTCGGGAAGAGAAAATTAGACCTTGTTAAAACTCACCTGGAAGAACTAGACTCTGACATCGAGAAGCGCAACAAACGTATCAGACTGACAGAAAAGTCCGCCGCCGGTTAGGATTTGGTGAACGAGTATTTACCTGACGAGCTGGCTAGCGGATCAGAGGCCGAGCAGAGGGCCCTTTGCAAACGCAGCCAACGCCAACAGAAAGTGAAGCCATCCAAGCAAGGTTATCCACAACTCCAATCATCTATCGCAACCACCGAGTTTGCTGGCCAACATTCATCATCCTCCAGACCTATTTCTCGTACTCTTGGAGCTTTCAGCAAACCAAGATCAAGTGATATTTGTTTCGCCTGCGGCCAGCAAGGTCATTGGAGGTCTCTGTGTCAAGTTCATCCTCAAGCCGGATCTTCAAGCTCCGGGCCGTCCTTTCCCAGTTCTTCTGGTCTTTTGGGCATGGGAGGGAAATAGGACCACAGAATTGAAAACTTGTTCTCCAAGGTTAGATATTAGCTTTACTCAATTTATTAGACATGTATCCTTCCTATTTGGAGTATTTCAGGGAAGGAGAGGCTTATTCTGGACTTACGTCATGTCAATCATTTCATTTGGAAACAGAAGTTTAGGTGTGAAGATTGGAGAGGTTTATTATTATATGTTAATAAGGGCGATTTCCTTTTCAGTTAATTCGATCTCAAGTCTGGATATCACCACATCGATATTTTTTTCGGATCACCGAACTTTTCTGGGTTTCTCCTGGTTTTTTCTGTTTTTTTTTTTTGTTTTGCGTCACTTCCGTTCGGTCTTAGCTCAGCCCCATACGTCTTTACCTATTGTCTTAGACCACTCGTTAAGTTTTGGAGGTCTAACGACATCAAAAATTGTTGTGTTCCTCAACGATGGGTGCGGAAATGGGGATTCACTGCCTTTATGGCCAAGGAAAATTCATTGTTTGTGCAATCATTCTTAAGCAGTGCGGGGTTTGTTGCCAACTCCGCCAAGTCACTATGGAACCCCACTCAGGTGCTTGTTTGGTTGGGTCTAAACTGGGACTTAGTTACCGGTACCATTTCTATTACCGATAGACGTATTTCCAAATTTATCGCTCTGATTGACAAATTTCTTCTATCCATGCCTTATGTTACGGCTCGGGATTGTGCCGTTATTGCAGGTCATGTTATGTCCATGTCCATGTAGCCAGTTTTGGGTAACCTGACTCGTCTCAAAACCCGTTTTCTTTACGAGGTCATAGAATCCCGCCATAGTTGGGATTCCCTTTTTAATATCGGGCTTCAAATGATTGCCTCTCTGAAATATTTTTCTGGAAAAATAATATCGTTAGTCTTAATAAGAGACCTATTTTGCCTTATTATCCTCCCCTTTTGTTTAACTATTCGGACGCTAGCAACGGAGCTTTTGTTGTGGGGACTAATGAGGTGTCCCATCGTATGTGGACTGCTGGTGAAGCAGCTAAGAGCTCTACCTGAAGAGAACTTAAGGCTACACAATTTTCCTTAAGTGCATTCAAAGCCTTGGTTCTGGGTAAGAGTGTACAGTAGCATTCTGACAGCCAAAGGGACCGTTCGTGCTGTGGAGATAGGGAGCCCTAGTGCAGGATTGTATTATATTGCGCTTGATATTTTCTATTTTTGTCGAACTTACAATATTACACTTATTCCCCAGTGGGTTCCCAGGGAACGTAATGCTTGTGCTGATGCGATTAGCCACATTGTAGACTTCGATGACTGGTATACAACCCCCGAGTTCTTCGCACACTTGGACCGCCTTTGGGGCCAACATACAGTCGACAGGTTTGCGAATGCTGCCAAAGCCCATCTTCCCAGATTTAATTCTAGGTTTCGCGTACCCGGCACTGAAGCTGTTGACGCATTTTCAATCTCGTGGAATGGAAAGAATAATTGGCTAGTCCCTCTCGTCCACTGCATTACTAGGGCGGTTCAGCATCTCCTTTATGCGGTGCGGTTGGTACTTAAGTCCTCCCTTATTGGCCGTCTAATGTGTTTTGGCCTTTCTTGTTCGCAAATGCAATTCAATTCCAACCGAACGTCCCCACGTACATTAATTTTCCCGACCCCGCAGGGATTTTTTCCCTCGGGCGTTACAAAGATTCACTCATTGGTTCAGACAGGTTTAACAGCGCGGTCCTGGCATTCAGAACTGGCGCTAAGGGGCCTTAGTTCTTTCACGCCGAGTGGCTTTATGTTGGCCCACGCGTTTTTCATTTCGCTCGTCAGTTCATTTGTTCTTGTTTCCTCATGAAACTAGCTCGCCGAGTGGCTTGTTTACCTACGTTTTTGAGTTGGCCCATATGGCCTTAAATAGTTTTGCATCCGGTCAGCGGCATTATCAAGCGTCCATTTTTTATCCGTATCAGGGCGTAATAAGCTAGGCCGCTGAAACGAGCGGGGTCGAGCGAACTAGCTGTGATGCAAGGGTCTGGGTACTACCAAAGAGACAAAACAAGATGACAGACATTATGCTGGACCGTCATAGAGATTACCCAGCGAAAGTTAGCCATTATCCCGTGGCATTCATTTGCTGCAAGCAATAGCGAAGGAACAAGTTATTTTTTTCTCACCTTCGTTTTCTGTTTTGTTCAATTTTTCGCCCGCGAACAAATATCTGTATTCAATATAGTTCCACCTTCGTGACCTGTATCAAAATTTCGTGACTTGGTAAGAAAATGCCATCACAACTCAGATGATAGCACTGACATCATTTTTAGACTAATATCATCGGTTCTCTGCTTCAGTTTGATATCAAGTTGTGTCGTTCATCATCTGCTATGGCATTTATTTTTTGCTGCCCAGTTTCAAGGCCAGATGATCATGATTTTTTTTTTACTATTAAAGTTTGTATTTGTTGGTGCACATCACTATTCTTCTCTTAAGACCTTATTGAGCTATCTCTAATGTTGAGCATTGGACAGATTGTGAAAACTAAAGTCTGGGTAAATTGAAAATATAATAAAATCATCATTATTTTTTATCTTGTACACTAATACGACACTGAAATGAAGAATAAGTATGTGAAAAAAAATATATTTCACTGCCCTTGAAAAACTAACAAAGGGGTCGCACGAACACAAATAAGTAGCCCAGCAAATATTTTTGCTTGATAATAACAGCTTTCTGTGATGAAATGGTCACTGAAAACTACCCATGCAAAACAGACTAAGGAGCTTAAAAGAAACTAAACATTCACTAGTCTTACATTGCAACCAGACATTGCCATATATATATCTTACAGATACAACATAAAACATTTATATAACATACAAATTCTAAAGTATACTGCAAACAAGAAAATTATACAGAATTATGCACAAATGAAATACAAATGGCCTGTAACAGTTATTTAACCATTGAAAAGCAAATTTTTTCGTGTGACCAGCAACCCTAGCACACTTGTATACTTCATGTCCAGTATTATTCAATTTCATTCTTGGTTAAGTTTATTACCTGCAGCCAGGCTTAATCAAACTTCATTCAAAAAAATACTTTCCTGTTTCCTTGTCTACAATATATAATATTAAGAGAGAGGATATAATGCTAGAAATATTATACAGTAGTACAATCAAAAGATAAGGCACCACCAGGAAATCGAGTTGGTCCCTACTATTCTTCAGTCATTTTCTTTTACTCTCTATAAGAGTTACACTTGTCCATTAATGGAGACATTTTGTGCCAGTCCCAATAGTTTCCATCTGAGAGCTGACTGTAGTTTGTGCAACACCAGACGTAGGCCTCTGACGATAAAAATACAATGTTACACAGTAGCTAGTCTTAATTTATTCTGCTTGCAATCAAATTAAAAGCTCGAGCTTCATGTTCATCCTCATATTCACGGTATTATGAACTCGCTTATCTTTCAATGTGTGTTCTAGTAGTCTTTTCAGGCCGGGCAGTCACTGTTGTCCTGAAAAATCATAATAACAAACACATTCTATGATTTAATTTTACAGTGGAATCTTTTTGGGGATTTGAAAGCATTCTGGTTCTGTGCAATACAAGCTTTAAATTTTATACCGCAGTGAAGCAGAATTTGTTGTTGTTTAATATATGTAGACTGTCACGCCAGATCATTCGAATGCAATTTTCTAGTAGAACTTTAAAAATAGTCAGAATCTTCTTGGATCGCGGCTATGTAACCAAAAAAACATTTATTTACCACCTTAGTGTATATTAAAAAAAGAAAAATCGCTAAATTAGGTAACTGAAATCTTTTATTTTACTAACAAGCTAAACGCCAACGTACAAAACAAAACCCTTGCTATCGCCATTAGGAAGTCGTCACTTCAGAAGTAAAACAGCCTTAAAGGTTCATAAAAGTTTCCTCTAAAAATTTGCATGCACAAACAAAATTTATAAAACCATTACATATTTTTTTTTGTAGCCGTTTATTATCATTTGGTTTTGACTGGCAAGATAAAACGCGACCTTCAACCTGTAATATTCGATAGGCCATATTGACACTACATAAACATAAAAGGCGAAAAAACACCTTAACTTATAATTATAAGACTAACTATAAAATATCCCCTTAATATTTTCTGTATATTGCATAGAAATACGCCAAATATCAAATCTAATTATAGATTGCAGCGATCTAAAGATATAAAGCAATAAATGCGACCTACCTTCAGCTATACAGGGCCATTTTTTTTCCCCTGACAGCCGATCGAGAGCGGAAAGGCCAACTAGTTCTAGTCCTACTCCGCATCACAGCTGAACCAGAGAGTGCGTATGAGCGTTTCAACGCCCTAGCTTATTACACCCTGATCTGTATTGACTTCCAGTAGGTGTATGGAAGAATTTTGCCATGTATTTTTGTTCTTATCCTCGTAGAAGTTCTCAAAGATGCCTTGCAGCCAAATTTTCAACAGGTTGAAGACAGGTGATTCCGGGCACTGGTTCAAGATCTCCCCTCGGGTTGGGTTGTTATCGCTAAAACTTTCAAGCATACATGTCCTTATTCATTAGTTCAACGATATTTTGTGGCTGCTTCTTTTTCAGCAGACAGCGAAGAGTTCATTTTTCGCCCTTTTGTTTTCCTTCGCGGAACCGGAGCTTACAAAATGCGCGGGTCTGTTC